CTCCTGCTTTTGGTGAGATCCAGCTGTTTTGCTTCCAGGCTCGGAGGCTGAGGAGGAGATCACCAGCTCTCCTCTAGCTGGATCGCAGAATACTGCTGGGTTTTGTGCGTTGTGTTTACGTGGTTTGGGGTGGAAAAGGAATGGGCTGTTGGGGGTGTGCGGTTATCCGAATCGGATAGCCGGAACACCGGCAGTCACATTAGGAAGGATTAATATTTAATATATGGGGTATGAACCATCGCGCTTAATCACTATCTGAAGGGCTTAAGAAGAGATTTACCGATAAGCAAGCGATTCCTGAACTGTCCAGAATGATTTCTTGCATCTTCCTGGGGAGCAGCCGGTCCTGAATATCACTAGAAGCTGGCCTGATCCCGTTCTTCCTGATGTCTCCTCATGTCTCCAGCCTTTGTAAGGGGTAGAGTGGCTTTCATCACAAGTGCTTTCTTCTCATTAGACTCACAAAAACTGCTGGAAACCCTTTTCTCAGATACAACTCACGTGGCTGTACTGTAAGCCGTAGTACCTGGCGGTGCTTGAAACTTACGTTTGTAGCCAAACCTCGTGGGAAAAGTGTCTTGGGCCCTGCGGAGGCCGTCACCATCACAGACATCTGCCCAGCCACAAGCCCAGAGATGGCTCATTCAGACTTTTCTCTGGCTAATGTCTTCAGGAGACCTTGAATTTCATCCGTGCCTCCAGTGTGGCCCTGGAAACCCTTGTGAGGGCAGTGTCGCTTCCCACATTGACCCATGTGTGGATTTTTTTGGTTGTTTTTTTCCACAGCGTAAGGTGTTTTGTAGGGTTGGATGCTGCTGTGTTTGTGCAAGGAGGAGGTGATGGTGGGGGACACGGCCAGGCACACAAATAATCCATCTCCACCGCCTCCTGTCCTGCGGGAGATCTAACCGCGCGCTGTACGGCTGTAGTCAGTGGGGCTGTGTGTGTCCTGCAGGTCGGTGTTGAGCCGGTTTGAGGTTGGGAAGCGGAGGTGGAGGTCTCCTTGGGGCTCTGGTGGCACTACTGGGGTTCGTCTAACCTTGAGGGTTGTGTCTTCGTCTTGGGGAAACCCCACTTTAGGCTGCAGAAGAGTGTGTGATGGCGAGCCCCTTCCGTCCCTGCCCCCAGTCAAAACTTGCGTAACCGAAAGCATCAGCCGTGGCCGTCAAACCCACTTTTGCTGTGGTTACACATGTGGTACTGCTGTGTTTATGGTGGCTGCAGTTTTGATGGTGGAAGTCGAAACAACTGAGCGTGGGTTGGGTTTTGGCACGTTGGTCATGTAGGAAATGCTGGTGGCTACTGTAACAGGCGTGGAGGTTAGAATTTTTTTTTTTAAAATGGAGTGGGTACTGGTTTTTCCCCAAAACATGTGTGGGAGAACACCTC